ACATGAAACACAGGAAATGCTCTCAATTGAGCCTGATTGCCTTGTGTGTATATGTGTGTGTGTGTCTGTTTGAGTATATATATATCTGTGTGTGTGTATGCAAACTCCAAACTGTCTGTTTGCTGACAGAGCAGCCAGTTTATTGACAGGAGCTGCTGTCAATAAACAAGCATAAAGGTGATTTCCCTGGCCGTGCTACAGGAACACAGTGTGTCACTGATGTATCAGTATCAGACAGTTCCCACAAAAGTAAAATGACAACATATTCAGCTTTTCTAACATGCAGAGGTGATACTTGATCAATCTAAAACAGGACATCTGAACCGGGCATTTTTCTATTCATTTCTCCGTCAACCACAAATGGACACAATCTGTATTTTCCATTAGGTGATACTTCAACTGAAGAGGATGTTCACAAACCCATTAAACACTGATGTGATAATACCCTGACATTTATATTGGTATTTGATTGGTCCTGTATGTAGTTGAGCTGAGAAGTAGTAGTTGAGTTCCCTTCTGAACTCACTCTTCTCAGCTTTTGATTCTAGCTCTTTGTGAAATACACTCACCTAAAGGATTATTAGAAACACCTGTTCAATTTCTCATTAATGCAATTATCTAATCAACCAATCACATGGCAGTTGCTTCAATGCATTTAGGGGTGTGGTCCTGGTCAAGACAATCTCCTGAACTCCAAACTGAATGTCAGAATGGGAAAGAAAGGTGATTTAAGTAATTTTGAGCGTGGCATGGTTGTTGGTGCCAGACGGGCCGGTCTGAGTATTTCACAATCTGCTCAGTTACTGGGATTTTCATCCACAACCATTTCTAGGGTTTACAAAGAATGGTGTGAAAAACATCCAGTATGCGGCAGTCCTGTGGGCGAAAATGCCTTGTTGATGCTAGAGGTCAGAGGAGAATGGGCCGACTGATTCAAGCTGATAGAAGAGCAACTTTGACTGAAATAACCACTCGTTACAACCGTATGCAGCAAAGCATTTGTGAAGCCACAACACGCACAACCTTGAGGCGGATGGGCTACAACAGCAGAAGACCCCACCGGGTACCACTTATCTCCACTACAAATAGGAAAAAGAGGCTACAATTTGCAAGAGCTCACCAAAATTGGACAGTTGAAGACTGGAAAAATGCTGCCTGGTCTGATGAGTCTCGATTTCTGTTGAGACATTCAGATGGTAGAGTCAGAATTTGGCGTAAACAGAATGAGAACATGGATCCATCATGCCTTGTTACCACTGTGCAGGCTGCTGGTGGTGGTGTAATGGTGTGGGGGATGTTTTCTTGGCACACTTTAGGCCCCTTAGTGCCAATTGGGCATCGTTTAAATGCCACGGCCTACCTGAGCATTGTTTCTGACCATGTCCATCCCTGTATGGCCACCATGTACCCATCCTCTGATGGCTACTTCCAGCAGGATAATGCACCATGTCACAAAGCTCCAATCATTTCAAATTGGTTAAAAAAAATGGCCCCCACAGTCACCAGATCTCAACCCAATAGAGCATCTTTGGGATGTGGTGGAACGGGAGCTTCGTGCCCTGGATGTGCATCCCACAAATCTCCATCAACTGCAAGATGCTATCCTATCAATATGGGCCAACATTTCTAAAGAATGCTTTCAGCACCTTGTTGAATCAATGCCACGTAGAATTAAGGCAGTTCTGAAGGAGAAAGGGGGTCAAACACAGTATTAGTGTGGTGTTCCTAATAATCCTTTAGGTGAGTGTATGATTCATTATGGTTTTGATTTTTATGTTTTTGAACACTGACAAAATTTTTCTGACTTAAATAGCAAGCTTGACCAATACAGTATCTGCAACATTAAAGTCAGCAACCCATTTCATGAAATAGGAAATATATTTTAATCTGAAATTTGTGTTGTTTTCAGAAGAGAATTGTACCTGGAAATGAAAAACTAGTGTAATTGTAGGCCTAAGTGGTCATTCATCTCAATAAACCAGACAAAACGGATGTTTGCTCAGCACACAAACAGCGTTTTTAATTCCAAATCAAGCACTGTTTCATTCATTCATTAACATTCATAACATTGTAACAACAAGTAATCAAATAAATGAAGACTGTAACACATCAAATAGCAATGAAGATTTTTGCTGAGAATCAAAGCATGAAGAACGCAGATTAAATTTTTCTGCAATAACTTGATGAAAGATAAACAAAACAAGACAAAAATTGAAAGATTATCAAAACTGTGCCCATTTCCTGCTATGCAACATAGATTATTAGCTCGTGTTGACACATTTCTCATCCTACAAAAAAATCTTCACGTAAATAATATCATTCCATTAGTGCCGCTGAACACCTGCAGCCACTTAATATTGAATTTCCTTGCAGCAAGGTGAAGTGTAATACAAAGATTAACGTCAACAGCCATTTAAATTCAATTACAAATGAATAAAATTCATAGGCTATTTTCCTGCCTTGCTGCAGGCATGCAATTCAGATTTAATGTGCTGGGAGTCGCCTGGAGGTGAGATATGCAAACAGGCAGCCAGGGGGTCGCCAGTTTAAATTTTTCGTCTGGGGAAATGCAGAACAAGTGCTGCTCTTTCTGCCTCAACACGAGACCATCAATGTGCCTTTGAGCAAGGCAGAGTCCCCAGCTGCTCACAGTACAAAACTGTGGTTGTTTTGGGGAGCTAAGAGTAATGAAAGTTTTGGATTTCATGCAGAGTTCACATAAATAAAACCAAACACACTTGAGCAAACATAACCAAGGTAAAAAAAACACATTGCTTTCACATTGATTTCTTGGAAAGAAAATAAGCCAAAAACTTCAATCAATGAATTAGTGAAAGCACACTACTAGAAGCTGATATGTCAACTTTTATAAATAGAGTAAATGTTTGGCCTTTTACACACACAAAAACACAAAAACTCAGGATTGTTCATAATGTTCAGTATTTGTTGTCACCATTACCTGACCCACACTTGAACCATTAACTAAAAACTTGGTTTGAAGCCAACTGTCAAGCTCCACTGCATCTGACATGTCATATTGTTTTTCTTTGCACGAAACTCAGATATATATAGCAGACTGATCTGTTCATGTTCAGACTAAATAACGTATTTAAGTAATTATATGTGCAATGTGCATGTTGTTGCACAATTCAAAAAAAGTAGAATCGCGTTTAAAAGCAGATTTAAAAGTAGAAGTAGATTTGGTTAGTGTTTCTGAATCTGTCAGGCTGTTCCAAAAAGCATGGGAAACCTCACTGAATCTCCATTAAGGACTTGCATGTGAAAACATTCCAGTCGCTCACACAGCCTAGAGCTAAACCATTTACTGCTTTGTAGCTGGTTAATAAATTATAATTCTGATTTATCTCCATTATTTAAAAAAATAAAAACAAGGGAAATCAACACTGAGTTGAAATTCAAGGTGGAATAAGCCATTCTGGAGAAATCCAGCAACAAGACAAATACCATGATATAAAATGTATTCAGTAAACTTCTATATATATATTTCTGGACACCATTTAAAAAAATGATTAATAAATAGCAGTACATGTTGGTGTAAAAAGAGTCATGGATGACTGACCTTGGCATTTTCTCCACATATAGATGTCAGAAATACTGAATGCTAGAAATATTTAGAGACATTGGAAATTACCCTCCAGTCCAACACTTCAAGAATGGAAAGTGATAATAAGTGAAACAGCATCATATGAGGTCATGGTGGCTAGGGTAGAGGGTAAAGGGTGTGTTGCATTAGCAATTTTTTATCATTATTGTTTCTTTAACCTCCCCTCTCTGTATTATTCAAGTACCAAAAACCTGTATTGTGTTTATACTATTTTATTTTCTCTTAACTAGGAACACTTGTGTCTTCTGTGATCTGCCCTCCCGCTGTCTGACTTGATAAAACTGTATTTTCTTCTTCCATATCTTGTACCGCATGAGCTGTTCTGTAACATGTTTGAAAAAAACATGATATATAGTGAATGACTGCTGCTATAACTAACAACAGCACTTGGTTTGTTTCCCATTTACAGAGCCAGGGCAGTGCACAAACAGCAGATTTTTTTTCAGCGCACAGAAGGCACAGCTGGCGGATATTTACTAAATTTGACAAAAAGACATGTATTTGAAAATAATGGCTTACCCCATCTTTAAGATCAAAAAATATTGTGAGAAAGGGAAACATTTTCATATTTTAAATTCACATTTACCATAACTTGTTCAAAAAAAGGAAATTCCCTGAGACTTAACATTGCATAAAGGTAGATCAGTAGCTCTTTTACATTATCTGCACATTTTCTCTCAATGCAATCAATAACCAGAATAATCAGAGCAAGGCATGAGGTGACAGAAAAGAACAAACTTTTCAACAGCAAATCAGCAGCTCTCAAACAGGATTGTTTAGCTGCCATTTTATTTTTAGGGCTTGCAAAAACAGAACAGTTGCATAAGCCCTTGACTTCAGAAAACACACGCACATACCATGGACTGTATAAAAAAACACACGCTCCATCTCCTCCCTGGCTTGTCAGGGCGGCTGTATTTTTGAAAACACCTCGGGCTGGATGGTTGCATCGAGGAGATGTTGACATTTCTTTAGCGATCAACCATCAAGCCCAGAGCGGCTGCATTCATGACCAACCCTGTCATCGCTCAACACTGCTGCTTTTATCTGTCTCCTCCCATTCAACCCTCACTTTTTTCTCTGTGCCCAGGTCTGTCCTCCTGTAAAATTTCTCCTCCTCCTCAATGACAGGTTCACTTAAAAAAATAAGTATATAAATAAAGTAAAATATGTAGTTAAAATTATGTCATTAAAATAAACTTAAACAGTTAGTTTGAATAGCTTGAAAGCCGAGACTTGGATTCCAAATCCATTTCAAAATATGAACCACTTACTTGAATGACTAATTACTTAAAAACAATGTAATTTCTTTGAGTGTACATTGTGTATTTTACCAAATTTCTCTTTTCACCTGTACAACCCTCCTTCTCCGCAGAGACTTAAAGCTGGACAACATACTGTTGGATGCAGAGGGTCACTGTAAGCTGGCAGACTTTGGGATGTGCAAGGAGGGAATCCTCAATGGAGTCACCACCACCACCTTCTGTGGGACGCCAGATTACATTGCACCCGAGGTAAGTGCAAACACACAAACACACACACACACACGTCCAAACCCACATATACACATTTTACTTGTAAAGACAAGGTCCATGTTGGACTGTTTGCTGATAATACTCTACTTTGGCAGGTGCTTGATGCCAAAAATACTTCAATTCAGCCCCCCAAATTAGATAGGCTTGCTCAAATCAATCTTCACTCAAATAATTGTACGGAAGCTTGGGCCACTTCGCAAAATTTGCACTGTCCCTGTTAATAAAGCAAAAATAGACCCCAAAATGAAATGGTCATATTGGTCGTCTGTGCGAGCTGCTTGTTACGACTCATATTTGCGTTTATAGTTAGGCTATAGTAATTATGACGGGAGCAGAGGAGGAAGTCAGGTAAGTGTAAAGAGCGACAAAATCCACTTAGGGAGGAGGTCCGGTGGGTGGGTGGTCAAACAAACAAAGGACTTTCAACCAGGAGACTGGTGTTCTTGTCCCGTTTGAAAACAGTTTGCTTTTGTAACATACTTAACAAATAGGTTGCTTTCCCTGCGACCGTTTCACAACAATAACCGTCCTTGTACCCTCCAAGGGTCATGTATGTCATTTGGCAGATTACCTAGTCTGTCGTTGAATCGGTATGAGGACTTTTTTGACTATGGTGACTTAGACTGCCTGTTTGTAAGTCTCTTCTTTTTTTGAATGTTTGGTTAGATTCTTCAAGAGCTGGATTATGGGCCGTCCGTGGACTGGTGGGCTCTGGGGGTGCTGATGTACGAGATGATGGCAGGTCAGCCGCCATTTGAAGCCGATAACGAAGACGATCTGTTTGAGTCCATCCTCCATGACGACGTCCTCTACCCTGTCTGGCTCAGCAAGGAGGCTGTGTCCATTCTTAAAGCGGTCAGTTAGTAGGAGGTGTGAGGAGACTTGTTTTGTGATGCTTTGCTGTTTGTCTCTGCAAGCAACAAAAATGGGAATGTACTGGAAATGTCAGTGCCGAAATGCTGCTTTCACACAACATATTTTGTCTAAATTCAGGAACTGCTTTTTAATGATGAACACTTTTGAGTCCACTTACTAATCCATCCGAGTCCATATGAACACTGAGTCTGAGATTGGTTGCAGTTGAACAGTGGTACAGTTTGTGGGCAGTCAGAGTAAAATCCATACTGCCCTTAAGACAAAAATCCACAATTACGTTACGTCATGAAAACATCACTGGTGACATATTTGCACTGTTAGTGATCTGCTAGTAGTTCTGACGCTAATTATTTCATAAAAGCCTTAAACATCAAACATCAAACCCTGATTGTAACTCTTGAAATACACCCACTGTTGAAGGATCTTTAAAGCTGATTGCTTTTTCTATTACTTATCACATATGCCCAGTATATGCTCTACTCAAAAATGTAACCCTCACTTTTTTTTATTTCTTTGTTTTTCTTTGCTTTTTCTTTGTGTTTTCAAAAAAACAATAGTTTCACTATGAGCATTGAAACTTGCATATTATGAAGAACTCAAATGTGACAGCCAAAATGAGAACCGTTGAAGTCCCTGTGTGTTTTGTGTTTTTCATCGCTCTCACTCTCACATGGGAGTGAAGATGCCACTTTTTTTTGGTGTCATATGTTCTGTGTTTCCTGATCCCCCACCGGAACGACAATGGACAATTCCCTCTATGTTTGCTTCCATTACTTTTTTTTTCTGTGTATGTTATTGGTTGTGTGTGTGTGTGTGTGTAATGCCACTTGTCTGTTCGTTTATTTGCTCGTCCAGTTTTTCCATCACAAGCCTTGCGTTTACCTTGGCTGTTAATGCAGTTTGACTCCAAAGCCTTGTGGGAAAGTGGAAAGTGTGTTTATGTTGGACAATGTCTTGGACTCTGACCAGTCACTTGACCAGCACTCAAGGCTGCGATTGGACTTGTTATCCAGCTGAAGGACTTCAGGTCACATGATAATCTCTCTCAGCTCAGTCAAATGGCTGAGCAGCCTGTTCAACACTCATCCAGTTTTCAAGTATTTAAGAAAATCCTGAAGAAAATGTAGTGCCTTCATTGATTTCAGAAATCCAGTTTATACAATGTTAATTTGGTGTTTATGAGCAGTGTGTCTCCATTAGTTTTACATCCAACGTGATATCATGGAATGGCGTACAAATAGCACGCCACTTTTAAGGACATTTCGGCAAACCATGTCAACGCAATTTAAGCTTTTCGCGTGTCATTTCACACTGTTCAGTCCTTTTAGACCTAAGCAACACAAAGGATGTTAACCTGATCTGCACAACTGTAGGATTAACTGGTCGACATGCATATATAATTACTGATGGTTAAGGTTAGCAGTAAAGTACATCGGGGGGGATGTCAATGATAGCATTGTTAGCTAGCTAGCTACTTAAAGTTTAACGTAGCTAACATAAGCAACGTTGCTAACGCTATGTAGCTAACGTTAGCAACGATGTAGCATGGTAACTTATGTAACGTAATTAAAAAACAGAAACTAAAGTTGTGTAATTATTGTTTCACTCGGGAACCAAACGCCGGTTTACTGGGTCAGGGACCAACTTACTATCCACCTGATCCCCTTCCACCACCTCTTAGTGTTGGACTTTCATGGCTATTAATATCCCACACATGCTGATTTTAACTATGACAGTAGACGTAAAATGGTAGTCTAAACGGCGTGAAATGGCACACGAAAAGCAAAAAATATTTGAATACCACACAAATGACTTAAGAAATCGGCATGTTATTCAAAGTCTTTTGATGATACCAAGCTGTTACATCATCTATAGGAAAATTAGGAGCTTTTCATCTTTCCTTGTGCTTGTTTTTTAGTTAATACAAAAAAGCTTAGCTTTAGCTTTAGCTTCCACTAAATTAAAATGACAAAAGTTTCCATTATATATATATATATATAATAGAAACTTTTGTTATATTTTATATATATATACATAAGTCTTGGCTATTCTGCTCTCACAGCAAGCTAACATCTATATCCTACATCGGCCTAAAACTGAAACCCAAACTTGGACTGTGTTTTTAAGACTGAACCTTACTGGTACTGTCAAATGTGAGACCTGAACCAAATCTGAGCCTATATTTTAGCCTTATCTCATCCGTTAATGATTATTAGCTCAATTGCATATCTACTTGTAACAAAAGAGTAAACATGGCTGAAGATGATTAGGCAAAAAAAAATTAAAAGCTTTGTCAGGACCTGTGGTCAGATAGGAAATCTGTACTCAGCCAAAGATAGTTTGTTAGAGTGCCACTCCCACACCAGTCTGTGATGGCAAATAGAAGGTGCATTTTTGTAGGTCAACTGAGCGGTGAGTCTTTTCTGAAGCAATGTCACGTCCTGACAGTTTCAGGAGTATTAATTTCCCAGTTTACTTTCATTTGTATCATATCTGTAAATTAAGATTAACAACACAATAGTTCTTCATTTCGATTTACAGTATTTGGATGTGAAAAATACTAAATTTAATCTTTAGGTTTTAGTAATTTACCACTTAAGTTAATAAAAATGCTGAACGGTAAGTCTACACACATACCGATTTGGATTCAATGAACAGCTTGAATTTTCCGAACTTAATTTGTCTTATTTGATGAAGAGTAAGTCCAACACACACCCGCCACATTGCGGCGTGTCGCACCATTTAAAATGGATCAATTGAATCCTGCAGCACACACCAGACACGCCATACAGACAGTAGCTGGGATGTACCACTTTTGTTGCCGAACATCGACGTTAGGAAACAGGATGGCGGTGTATCCTGACATGGTTATGCACTTACAATAGGTATTTTGATGCGCATCATACACTGCTGGTGTGTGTGTTGTCTTTAACTCTGCTGAACTTGAAAGTGGATTTTTTGCTTTGATGCAACAAAATTTCGAAACGGCTTGTTGGACGCTTGTTCTTAGATCTATTTTTGGTCTCTTGATGGTTGTGTGAAATTTTCTGTTCCTCAGTGTACGAGCTCTGCTGGTGTAAACAGGCAAAATAGACATCCTCAAGAGAGAACACACAATATATTTTTAGCTGAACAAAAACTTCACAAAACTGATATTTACATCATCACACACTTATCTTCCTTCCGTCCTTTCACAGAGCAATTTTATCAAACCAATACACAGTTTTTGTTCAGATCTGACCTCCACATGTGTTACGTCATGGAAAACCTCAGTTTTTATGTGGCTATTGAAAAAAAAGAATATAGTTGTTATTACAATTCATCAAAATATCGTCCACTTAAGAAAAACAAATCAATTCCTCTTTCTGTTTTTCTCCGTTATTCCATCTCTGCTTTCACTTCTCAGTTCATGACTAAGAGTCCTAACAAGCGTCTGGGCTGCGTGGTGGCTCAGGGTCTGGAGGAGGCCATAAAGCTTCATCCGTTCTTCAGAGAGATCGATTGGACGCTGCTGGAGCAGAGGAAGATCAGACCACCATTCAAACCACGCATCGTGAGTACCCACACACACACACACACAAAAATGTATCTTGTTTACAGTGTAAGAGGCTAGAATGTGAACATTATAGGTGTTTGTATGTGAAAAGAAGCATTTAATGTTGTTTAATCTTTAATCTTTTTCGTTCCTCTACCAGGAACCAAGGGCGTCACGTTGTGTTGAAAAGTGGTGGGGACATAAGGGCTCAGGTCCCAAGGCTGAAATCCACCAACAGATGATCTCTTAAATCTCTTGTTCTTTGTCTTCCAGAAAACCAAAAGGGATGTGAATAACTTTGACCAGGACTTTACACGTGAAGAACCCGTCCTGACGCCGGTGGACAACAGCATCATCAAGCAGATCAACCAAGATGAGTTTAAAGGATTCTCTTACTTCGGGGACGAGACTGTGACCTAGACACACACAATGTCACACTGCCACACTAACACATACATGCATACACACCATCACCACACAACACCTAAAATATCTTCAAGCAAAGACACAGTATTTAAAGAAACACAGCCTCTGGAATGAGACCTCCTGAACTTTTCCAGATCTGACCACTCCAGGAATTATACTAGACCATATGTATCTCTTTTTATTTGTTTCTGTGGTCTTGTTGTATGTCCATTTGTGCATATCCCATCAAACTATATGTTCGAGCAGCATGTAAGTGCAGGTCAGATACTGTAGGAAATGACCCAGTGCTCCTTTACCTAGTCCAGATGTTTTCTGAAAGGCAAAGCAGAGGACCAAACCAAACTCTGTGTTTTGAAGTAGATACATAGGCAAGGTCATGGGCTGTTAGTGTGTGTGTGTGTGTGTGTGCGCGCGCGAGAGAGATAGTGTGTTTGAGTGTGCGTGCATGCATGCGTAGTTTCCTCTAGTAAGACTGTCATTTCTGTACATGATGTGCTGTGTCCTATGTCTCTGTGTTTAAAGAATGTTTTTTCTTCCCTAAACATGTATGTGAATGGAAAAAAATTGAACCAGTGATTGTATTTAAAGAAAAAAAAGGTCTTGAAAAGTACTTTATTCATTATAAAGAGATGTCAAAAGGAGATGCAAGAAAGCAAAGATTGTTTTCTGATGAAATCATGGTAAAATGAGAAGTTTTGTCTGTGCTTGATTTTAGATTTAATGTTAACTTTAAAAGCACCACAAAAGCAACACTTTGGCATTTTGAATTTTAGTTTAGTTTTAGCTCATCAGTTATTTTCTTACTGTAGGAGAAGGTTGCGCTGTTTTTCCTTCTCTCTCCATATTTTAGCTTCTTAGTAAATAGATGTTCCCGTTCTTTATTAAAAACCAAATGGTACCATTGCAGTACTTCACCACCGTGTTTATTGTTGTTTGGTGTGTGCTTAGTGTTAACAAGCTGTTTTCCATTTAACTCGATGGTTGATGTTGAGACAGTTGTCAAAAAATGCCGAGGGAGCCTTTAAAAAAGATGATTTATTTTAGGTCAAGTCGTCCTTGTTACTGAAGCTCTCATTGCACATTCGAAAGCTAAATCTTTCCAGCTCAACTCCTTTAATCCCTTCATGACCACTTGATCATTGAATTGCCGTGTGTGTGTGTGTGTGTGTGTGTGTGTGTGTGTGTGTGTGTATACATTAGCTGTGTAATCGGTTGCTGCACTTGACCTAAAGTCTCAGACACGACAAACCAAACGCCCATAACTCCACATTAAAGTCGCATGCACAGAGGTGAAAGTGTTAGCACATGTGACTGGATTGAATGTATTTGCTCTGCGGTGTGTGTGTGTGTGTGTGTGTGTACAAATATGGAGAGCTGTCATTGTGTTTCATTTTTTATTTAAAACATCTTTTTGTTTTTGTTGTCATTGTTGTGTTATTTTTACTGGATCATCTAGTTCTTACTGACATGTTAGAAATCTTTAGATTTCACGTGATGCAGCAAGACTCACTTAGAAACTCTGACCGTCATACTTTAGACCGTCCTCCTCTTCTTTGTACAGCCTCGACAGGGAGGTAAAATAAGCTTCAAATGAGCAAACAGCCCTCCAGACGTGTTGAGCGTTGTTGCAGGTCAGGTTTATGACTTTATAGTGAACTAAAAACAATTCAAACATTTTCAAGAAAATTCCATGTGCAATACTCTGAAAGTTTTTTTGTTTCTTTGTTTCTTTGTTTTTTTCTGTTTTCATCCTTTTCTCTTTCTGTCCTCTTTGTTTCTCTTTTGCCTCATGTTCAGGTACAAAGACGACTGCATTACATTTAGTTTTAAGGCACATAGAAGTTACAATTATTTCATCCAAGCACATATTTACTCCATTTAGTCCAATTATTCAGCATCTCAGTCATTCAATCGCTGGCAGTTCCCTAAGTTCCCCTGTAGTACATTCATATGTAATTGTCATGCATTAGTGACTACTTTTTGGCAAATGTTGACCGGAACATTTAGAGTGAGTGCGGTAAGTAGCGTGACATTTATAAGACACATTTGGCAGGAAAAGTGCAGCAGTAGGGAAGTGTTTCATGCCGCATCAGAGATGCTGTGTGTCATGTGAAGAGCGCCTTTCTCTGTGGTTTATTCTTTTAGAAATCTGATCCTGAGTGTATAGAGCTTCAGCATTGTTTAGGCTCACATCCCATCTCATCAAGACTCAATCTCAAGTTTACAGCACTGAAACTTCTATATTTATCCGTGTCCTCCATGTTTTCATGATCATCACCAAGTACTTTTTAATTGCCTAACATCGACCAAACATTAACCATGACGGGAAAAAAATTTAAATGGCACAGTTCTACATTCTGAATAAAATGTGTGATTTGTTGAAGAATAGTGGCACAAACCTTTAAAGAAAAATGCACTTCACTAATGCTAAATAGTTACACTTGAATGTCATTTGTACAAGGCAGGAGTGTCAACGAATAAACACATGCTGAGGACATTAATAATGAGTTACCTGTCCGGTAATCAGTCATGAGCCTAAGGAGTTAGCATGTGACCTGCCAGAAAAGCAAAATAGTTCAAACAGACAGCACCATCTATGTAGCATTAGAAAAACTATGCGTGTTGTAGCAGCAGTAGTGGGAGCAGAAGATTTATTAGATACAGTAGCTGTAGGAAGACACTCAGTCGCTAAACTCAGACACTCACACGCACACACACGCACATATGTATGGATAGTGGTGCAGATTCAAGATTGTATAAACAGTTTTACTGCCAACCAACTTCCAAAACACCATGTTTATGTTGTCCATCATTTACCATTACTTCCCCTCTCTTCTTTTCTGTGTCTCCTGCTGCATCTTTGTTTAGTCTTTAAATTAAAAATATCAAACTGTTTGTCCCACTGTGACTCGAAAAGGATCTCTCCCAGAAGTCCTCCATGCTAAATGCCAAATGCTATTTCCACATTTTCCACCCAGTGGTTTAATATTTGTTACATGCAGAAAGTTAGTGAATCAAGCTTAAGTGAAATTCAACACACAGCGGCATGAGGTTGATTTCAAACAACAGTGTTATGATTTTACTTACAGTATCAAATGTTCTTCTTCCTCGGGTCATATGCAGAATGTTACTGTATGTACATTTCTTTTTGCAGTCCCTGTAGTTGTGAAGCTTTGTATGTATATGTTGTCTTCTGACCTGTGGTTTTGTTCCTTTATGACCCTTCATTTGTGTTTATGTTAATATTTTTCTTTTGTTTGCGCTGTGTGCCAAATGTACTGTATTTTAAAAGGATGTGAAGGTGTATTTTAATTTTTGAAACAAATTAAATATCATGATGTCTGAAAGAAAGTTCTGTTTGTTTGGTGCATCATTTCTTTTTCAATTTCCTCTTTAACCCTTCTCCCTGTTGGTGTCTTATTGTAAATCATGGTTTGTGAAATGTAGTGATTTAGGCTTAACTTAATTAAGCATGACCTCAGTAAGCAGTAATCAAAACAATATAATCAAAATATACATGACATGTTCATACAGCACAGAAAATTGCTTTGAATTAGAAAACATGCATGGAGTTATACCTGTGCCAAGGAGGAGTGTAGAAATTGGCCACTTCAGTAATCTTTTCCATCTAAAATGTTGGAGAAGCTTGTAGGCAAAGACCATGTTAAATGACAGAAGAGTTATCTGCTTCGGAGTTTCTGAAAAATGTGGCGAGACCTGCTCTTAAGTGCAATGTTGGTGGGAAACTTAACGCTTGGCCTCAGTGTGAACATCAACAATAGTTATGACGCAGGCTGTGTTATGGATGTATAATCTTAAAAAGCCGCCAACATGCAACACAAATTGATACAGTTGTACAGTACATCTAAATATCATACCTGATAGTCAGCTGCAGCTTACAGTAAATACACATTTAATTTATGGGCTCAGTGGACACTGCCAGTAAATTACTACTAAAACAAAACATGCAAATTGTGCACTTTGATTTCCCTCGATGACGAACTCTGTGGGGAAAATTTCCAAATGCAGAGTTATGTCAAATAAAGGTCTGGTAAAGTAATGACGCCACATTTACATCTGGTCTGTCACGAACTGTCAGGAGAAGGGTATTTTCTTCTCATCATTTACTTAAATTACCAGTCGACTACAACAGCATGTTCATTGTGAGATATACAATGAACATGCTTTCTGCCACTTTGCATATAGGCTACTGTACAGACTGCAATAAAAATGCTATTGTTGATTGACAGCTTATGACTGATAATAAGAGATGATAGCAAGATTAGCTTATATCTTAGCAAGTCACATTGTTCAGATTGCAAGATATCAAGTGACTCTTCCAATAAATACTGCACTTTGAGCCTCAGAAAATGAACCCCTGCAGGCTTGAAAGACAGCTCTGAATAGGGTGTAGCTGCTAGTTTTATGCCGTTAGGATACGTTAAGGCTGGGACCAGTGGAGACTCAGAGGATTGTAGATGTTATACAGATTGTTAAAAAACAAGATTAATTTGTGAGTTTTAGAAGTGATTTAGTTAGGCATACGATAGCTGCTTTCAATGCTAGAAGTGTAGATAACTGTCTATATGGACTTAAACATGGGACAGCTGTTCATTTCCCATTTTAAACTGACAGTAAACAGTGTTTTTGCCTTTGAAGCATGACTATGCTCATTCCATAACCTAAACCATGCGTTTATTTATTCTTGTAAACGAAGAAGACGAAGGTGCCATTATCTTAAAGCGCTTATTTTAATCCAAACCATGATCTTTCCTTAAACACAACCAAGCTTTGCCAAAACCAAACCTTAACCAGAGCGTTGTCACATCATAAAACAGATTTATTTTTCCACAGTGATTTGTAACAGTTGTGCTGGGCTGGATGTCGTCCTGCCGATAGGGGCGTCAGATCAGAAAACTCTTCTGGATCATTCTAGAGGTCATGGACAGAGAACTTATTTTGTTGTTTAATTTGGAGGACATGGGCTCCTAGCTCCATATTTACTGTAAAGGAAAGAGTGGTATCCCTGTTAAAAGTGCCTCAGTTGGATACAGGTGCAGGTGTTTGCCTGATGAAGACCTTTTACAGTGGATATTCCTGTTAAAGTATGTACTGTGAGGGGGAAACAGAAGACTGACTCCTGCGATCATAATTGACTTTATTAGTTTCTTATAAGAATTGCATATTTATCACACTCTGACTTTCTTTACAGCTCACACCTGTTGCAGATCAGGGACAAACAGGTAGCGCGCAGGGGAGGGCGGAGGGGGGGGGGGGGGGGGCGGCTCCCGGTGGCCTTTCCAGCCAATCGTCGTGCCGTCCAGGGACAGCGGCTTTCATGGTGCCAGCTGAGCTTCAGGTCAGACACCGAGCAGCTTTGGGAGTTTTCAGATCCGCAAAGCGAGGAAAAGTTTTGACAAGCGAACCTGCGTGCGGCTTCTGACAGCAGCAGCTCAGCGTTCAGCCTCAGCCCGTGTGTGGAGAGCTTCTGCGGGTGAGAGGCTGTACAATCCTCGGCAGTGTTCTGAGACTGTGCGGCCCCGATACCCCTCCAACCCCCCCACCACCCCCACCCCCCTCCAGCCTGGACGGTCACAGTCCGCCTGGTTTCATGGACTAACCGACAGTTCACATGTTTAATGACATTATCTGTCAGAGGGCTCCTTCTGACCAGCGCACCTCGAGTACCAACACGTTTCACTTGTCTTGACTCTAAAGTTGGACCTAACTTTGCCGGGGAATTACAACATTGTTATCGTGCATAAGCGACAACATGACGGCCGAAAAGGAGAAAAAGAGGTAAGATTTAGCTTTATTCCTCTCTGCTTTTAATTTGCCGTTGGTTCTGGGTTTATTGAACAGAGCCTGTGTTTATTAAGTAGGAAATTGGCTGACAGTTGGCTACTGTGACAGAGGGAGACCTGTTGCTGCAGCGCTGCATGTGACTTGGCCTGAATTTCTGCTCTGATAGTGGCTGTTATAAATCACAGTCACAGCCAATGGCTCCACGCCGTGTTTATAAGAAAGCTTTGTGGCAATGTTAACGTCTTTTTAATACAGTAATGACCACTTTGGTTGTGATTAGACTCCTGTAAGCTAAGGTAAGTAGTTGGATTTTATTTAGTCTGTACTGACAGGAGATATAACTTGCCACAGGTTATCTCCTGTTGAGTTTAACCAGATTTAATTGTGATTTTTGGATACTTTTAAATGTCATGAAACCGTAAAGGCCTTTTAAAAGTGGTTTGTTATTAGTGGAAACATCTAGCCAAGCAAGCACCAGTGTTTTAACTATACTAAAATCTAAACAAGTGGAGGCCATCATTGCTCAGTCATATTTAATGTATTTACTAATACAAGAATAAATAAGCATTCATATGCAAATAAAGTCCCTACTGTTACATCTTTCCATACTAAGTTGTCCTGTAAAGAAATCACATTAGCTTTTGCAGATTAAAGGTGTATAGGCTCAGGGCAGACAGCTCTTTTTTATTTTTATTTTTTTAGAGGAAGCTGTGGTTTCTTAACATGAACCCTCATTTCCTTGCAAACCTTCACAGAGCTACAGAAGATGCTTCACTCCTGGAGAGAGGATGCTTAACCGTTAAAATAGCACAGTAGCCTTGCATCTTTCTAATAATATCTACACAGAATTTTAAGCAAGGCAGAGCTAGACAGTATGTTCCAACAAAGCTGCAATTTACAAATTCTGCAGCAAACCACATGTGAAAATGGATATTTGAACTACTTTAGCTGCTTAATCTTTTATCCTCTCGCATGATTTCCTTTTTTGAAGTACTTCTTTATGGTGTCATCAGTGTGTCTTCCTGCAAGTGACGTCCTGCTTTTTTGGTTGTTAATTGTTCACCAGTGCTGATGATGTCATTGGCCTAATCTTGTGTAATAATGCTTTACTGGTTCCAGCTTGTCCCAGTTCGTGTCACCGTTAACAGCGATTTAATCATGCCTGTCAAAGAGAGACAATTATCTTGTTATCGGTGGAAAATCCTTAATTTGATTGGCTCTTTCTTTCTAATCAGATCACAGAACGGTGTTTCATTCTTAGACTTAGAAAAAACACAACAAATGGGACATGTCATTATTATCTGTAAAATAAAAGAACAATAATCTTCTGCTTTCACGCCACTAGGAGAATCAGTTTGCCTGACGCCTTCTTGTCTGTCCAGTCCACCCTTGTGACTCTTCTCTCCAGCGCTCCTCTAACCGTCGCTATCAGATCAGGCCTAAACATGAACAGAGCAGGTATTAAGGCAGAGGACAGAGACACAGGACTCTCTGTCATCAGGGATGAAAACAAGAGAGAAACGGCGAAAGAGAAGAAATGAAATTAAGAGACAGAATTTGAAATGAGTCCAGGAGCATTTCCTCTGGCTCGTCAGCGCCTTGGTGCTTCCACCAGAGAGCTATCGGCCATTTTAGGGAAGGAGACCTGCAAGTGTGTCTGTGTCTGGCTGCACATGAAAGTGTGTGCGTGTGTGTAAGTGTGTGAGAGTTCACTAGATTTTGTCTCCTCATTGATGTGTTGTCCTCTGTCAGTGTGTTAGTCTTTGTTTTACACAGTAGCACATGGTCGCTGCTGCTGCCTGGAAGTCATAATTGCTCTGATAAGTTGTATGATTCATGACAGCTGCCTGGCACATGCTGTGTTTATTTGAGAGGCGGCGATTCAGATTGGTTTTTATTAATACAACTCATGTTGATGTAAGAGGAAGAACTTGTTTGAATGTCTTTATGTGATTGTCAGCTTTCTGTCATGGTGATAAAGACAACTTTGGTATCGTTTGTTTGGCACTTAAAGGACATGTTGCGGTGTTTTCTCTAATGAGTCCCCTATTCAAATCAGAGAAAACCAAGAACCTGCATAAAAAAGATTGATGAAATTGGTGCCCCATAGTTCTTTGTTGATTGACCAATTGAGAACTATTATTACCAGTTAACTATTTGGCCCAAGATGATGTCCTTCAAATGATTTGAGTTATATGACCAACAGTCCTAAACAGATATTTAATTTACTTTAATGGAAGAATGAGAAAACCAGCCAAAATCCATATTTGATAAGCTAGAGCCAGTATATTTTAGGTATTTGGGCATCAAAAATAAATTTAACTTAACTTTTTGATTCGTGGCCTAACCGTGTTAGCTCTACATACAGTGGAACACACACAGACTTGAACATAGGATACACAAGGCAATGCATTTTGCTGAGAAACAGTCAATATAAACGTGTATAAAAGTGTTTGTAATAATTTTTCCCAGCTCATGTATGTAAATGAGGTGGACAAAATATTAGAAACACTTGTCAGTATAATGCAGTCCAGTACACAACCTTAATAATAAACATACTATAGTACAAAGCATAATTATCGTCTTTCTGACAGTGTCTGCAAAAATAGGAAATATATCCGCTTTGCAGAAGTAGAATACACGGCAGAGCTGTTGTATTGGATTGCATTAGATTGTACAGGTGTACTTAATGAAGTCCACACTGAGAAAGGTATAAAACACAAGCTGAAACGGACGACACCATGTGCTTGAATAAAATGCGGTGGCAGCCGTCACATTCCGACCCAAATCTCCAGTGGTTAGAAAGATCTAGGCCACCCACTAGTCTTTATATCATCAGACACATCATGAACATGTGTTTCAGTAAACATGATGCCAGAACCCTCGGCGCCAAAGCAGGAAGTAGTGTAATATTCAGGGTTATAAAAAGCAAAAGTGTGTGTGTGTGTGTGTGTGTGTGGCGGTAGACTAGCAGTGCCATGGTTCTGGGTCCCTTCCATCTGCTGGAAAAGTGACCACACCTTAAAGGTACTGGACACTCCCGGTGTTTGTTATAGCAACCAGTAGCCCTAAATACACTCTCGGCTCGCTGTTCACATTTTATAACTCAACCCAATTCCTAGGTGATAGCGAACAAACAAGTGTGTTATGGGAGTTTACCTTAAGTTTTGTGAAGCCATGTTTCTCTGAAATTATCATTTCAAATGCACGGTATTTAACTTGTGAGCTTATTTGTTGAGATGTGTTGTGTGACAGCGCCAGCAACAAGACGAGTGATCAGACAGGTTTTAGGTCTCCAGTGTTGCCATATTGATTTAAAACCAAGAATAACAACACCCTTGAAACATTTGTCTGTACATTTACACACAACAAGAGTCAAAACACATAATACTGCTTGTTGAAGTTAAATGCAATAACCACTTTTTTAAAAGAGAGTTAAAATGTTTTATGCAAATTAGAAAAGTTTAACTATTAAGTTATGAATTGGTTCTAACTACATGAAACTAAGAGATCTGATAAGTTGGACAATAAATTAAGATTATGCAAACATCAAATTCATCATATCTGCAGTTAAAACCACGGCCCGCTGGCTGACATCCAGTGTTTGATCAGTCTAACCCCATTAAAAACTCCTGAGTTTTCCTTTGTCTGTCAGCTTTAGTCAGCCTTTTGCGACAGTTTCACACGGTAACACTCACATTACTTTAACACCAGTGACCACATAAAATAGCTTTATTTTCACACCTGGCTGACTGATACCAGAAATAAGTTGAGGGCTTGTGAACCCCACTCACTTCTTTCAACATGTGATTGCACTGGAAACAATGTTCAAAGGTCAGAGTCCAGGGCAGCTGCCAGGCAGATATACATTACATGACTGTGGAGCGATTGATCCATTTGGGTGTATTTTCTGTCTCTTTTTATGTAAGACCTCTCACTGTTATCATAGTCAGTGGGGGATGTAATGGTATATTCTGGCAAAATATCTAGCAATAGACTGTATGAATTTGGGAAATCTGAAATAAAAAACACTCATAAAAACTACGAAGTGGTTATTATGAGCATGGTATGCCCACAGGAGGAAAAATAAAGAATCCTCCATTGTCACTGTTTGTCATGTATTAAAGAGTGAACCTTGCATGTATCACACCGAGACCTACACCTTCAAAAATGATTCAGAACATGAAGGCTAAAACTATTTACTGTCTCCTTCATTATCATTGATCCTGGTGCCATCAGTGAAAAGCTTCTTTGTTTTAACAGGAGTCAAGACGTAGTTTATGTGACACATTGTGATGTCTAATGTGTTTATGGAGAAAGAAGATTGCAGAACACAAAAATGGGGACAAACAAAAAAATCTTAACTCAAAGGAGTAGCATTTTCCAGAGCCTTAAACGGCATCTCATGGTCTTCTTCTTCAGCGGATTGGAGCAGTGTCCATCTGAGGAGGAAGACTGTGAGATGCAGTTGAAAGCTCCAGAAATAAAAACTAGTAAGTGGACCTTTCTTTGAGATTACTGCTATTCTCAAGTTTCACGCTCCAGTTGATTACAGCTGTCAAAGAAATGTAAAAAAGCCATTTACAATAAACATTCACGTCTGAGCCTACATGATTCCCCGTTATTCTGAATGAGTGCAAAATATTAAAATCATGCAAAGAATTTGTTGGATTGCCGCTAGTTATGACATTGATCCCGATGGAGCTTCTCATAATGTGTTTGTCATGCAAGTGTTGAATGATAAGTTTGAAGCACTTAATTGATCTTTTGGTTTAAAATGTCTTCTCATCAGTTTTGCCCCTTTGCTCATGTTTGTTGCACATTATTATGGGCTGCTACTGCATCATTGTGTCCTCACTCAGTTTCGCTAACTCATGAGAAGGTGGGGGCGGGGGGCGGCAAGTTGCCAAAACCAAGACAGAGCGAACAGAAGGGGAGGACAGACAGTTGTTAAACAAAACAGAGTGATAATCAGCTAGAAGTAACGGTGATAT